ACCGCTCCTACAGTATGTTTCCCCGCAAAAAAAATTCAAATTTACAATTCAAATTTGACCAGAACCGCCCTGTTTGTTTTCGTGTATTCCCGCGTTCGCGTTGCGAGTGAGTGATCAACGTTCCAAACCGCGTTCGCTCAACGTCTCACCGAACATCCCGCGACCAACGTTCCGAACCGCGTTCGCTCAAGAGTATTATATAAACTACAAGCACAAGAGTCCATACACCTTAAATAGACATAATTCACAAGGTTCAAATTCACAAGAGTCCATACACTACAATTACAAGTCCAATTCACAAGAATATATACAATCCATCATTTAATAGATATAATTCACAAGGTAAAACCAATGTCAAATTCCATACACATTGTTATCAACGTCCTAGAGCTAGCCTTTCAGTCTCATGAACGTGTTGGTACCGATGATTTCTACCTAAGTCAGACTCTTGGTCATGGTAGGTGCCTTTGACGTGTACAATCTGGTCCAATATGAAGTTGCAAAGGTCACCGATGAGCTCTAAGAGTTGGTCATCCTTGTATGTGTCTCTTTTCATTTCTTTCTCTTCTTTCCACTACAAGAGAACAAGTTTCGGTTTAGTATTTCATACCATGTACGAAGTTTTTATACTATGGTTGAAGAGGTTCAAACTTACCCTTAAGGGGTGTCTCCTGTAGGCACCGGTGTTACTCATCATAGAACATACATAGTATCCACAATGTACACTCCCAGGCTTCTGCTTGGGGCACTGTGTGTTTTGCATATGGAAATGTTAAGTAATGCTTTTGACAGCCATATAATGGAGTACTGAAGAAGTAAGTTACACTTACCGCATATAGTGTTTTTATAGCTAGCTTTTCCTTCCTTACTGGATCATGCCTTCCGTGATGTTTAGTGACATAGAACATAAATGCCATGTTCGAATTATTTTAGCAAATACAACTTGTTAGTATCCAAAAGTGAACGTTACAAGTATGTATACAAACATATAAGCTAATGAGGATTGTCGATATGTATGTCTTGAGAATCAATATGAAGTCTTTGTATGTCACCGGGTCCCTATCTATTGAATCAAAGACCCATGCCATGCTCCTCCCGACATCGACGCCTATACAAATCTAGTTGTTGCTGCATGGATTTAATCATAGAACTAGATAAGCTCTTTTGCATCGAATAAAATATATCGAACAAAGCTTTAAGTATAGAGTTGAATTTACTCGAAGTTGTATGATAGCCATATAGTAGAGTGCTGTTGGAGAATTTTAAAAGCTAGGGCAATGTATGCCGAAACCTTAAGGGACTCTTCCCTTAGTTTCTTCGTATGGATGTGCTCTTTCTCCCGAAGGGTCTTTCCAGCAGATAGCTCTTTGTCATCCAGTTTTCACTGTTTCGGGTAATTAAAATTTGTTTGTGCTATAGCTTGAGGGTCTATATACCCGACTTTCACACTTGGCATTTGTTTTACAATGTGCACTTGCATTCTACAAATCACGTCGTGGGTTAGTTACAACAAAATTCAAAGATTACATTCATATCATATCGGGAGGACAAGGACTTACAGGCACCACGTGCGAATTAGATTCATCTTCATTGCTCTGAGGTGAAATCATATCTGCATGTCATTGAAGTCAAAGACAATTTTCCCCGCTGGGCTTCCAAATGTGCCGATGGGGAAGCATGCTTGTATGAGGTCTATGCTCGTTGGGAGAACATGCAAGTACCAATCATGGAACCTTCTCATTCCAAGTGGTAGGCGCTGGATGTCCTGGTTTGGTAGGAAGGGCTTGCCTCTTTCATATGTTTTTGGGCAATCCTTTGACCATTTGATGGCATCAATATTTGGATACTGCTTTGCTATTTTGTGGAGTTTGCTAGTGACGGCCTCCTCAGAAGCCTGTGATGGGACTTTTTTAGCTTAGTTCTCAGGCTTGAACTGGTCATGGGAATATCACTTGTGCACCGACGAGACATCTTTCATCGGAACATAAATTGGTCTTATGGTGATTGGATGCTTCTTTTGAAGTTCCCATTCAGGCACGTCCTCATCTTCTTGTGCATCACCTTCTTCAGGAGGCACTCATTGTTCATGTATCAGCTGTGCTTGTTGAGAAGACTGTGGCATCTCATCATGCACTTGCTCGGTACGAGCTGGAGAAGGTTGTGGCTTATCAAGCACATGCTCGCTAGGAGGCGGGGAAGAATGTGGCATCTTAGGAATATGGTGGTCACGACACGGTGAAAATATCTCCCCGACCTTAACAACTCACTCCAAATTTGAGAGAGGGGGATGCGGCGAAGAAGCAGTCAATATAATGTCCCATTTGTGCCAGAGGATGAACTGCCCCATTGCATCTCTAAGTAACACCAGCCCCTTGGGAGTTGCATAGTCTATCCTCCACTACATGAACTCGGGCTTCATGGTATGCACCTCGACCCTAGTGTAGTCCAGCGGTATCTTATTATTGTGGTGTAAGCCACCGGGAGGATGTGCCACACCCGTTGCCACCTCCATCACAATATTCTACCGGCCGCTGAGAAACACCAAGGTGTAGCTAGTTGGTTCCTGTATGCGATCGATGGGGTTGTGGCTATAGTAGAACCTTGGCTGCTAGGAACTTTTGGAGGGCTGCCAACTAATACCAGTTCTCTCGGTGACATCATTAATATCCGTGGCTCCATAGACAGTCCTTGCTCCTCCAGCGCCTTCGCAACTAGAGCCTTCACTTGGAGTTCAAGATTAGTCTGCCAGTCTCTGTCATGTTTCTTGTACATGTGCCTGCTCTCTTTGAATCCTTGCTTCCAGGTCGTCCTTTTCCGTAGCCCCCTGGTGCGGCCTGTGTGCTTCTTGTTTTCCAAGCCAAGGCTAAGCTCGTCCCTCTCTCTAGAAGGATTGAATGAGCCCTTCTCCTTGTCTTTGGCATATTTTAGTATCCTTGATACTGCCTCTTGGGTCTCTGGCTTATCAAACTTAAGATTACCGCCGGATGATTCTGTACTCCTCGCATATATCCAATTTCTTGAGCGTACCTTTAAATTCGTCACATCGATATTCCTAGCAGCTGCGGCCTCTTCGTCCATCTTCCTAAACTACTCTTCCTTGGCATAGTAGCCACCGAGGCCTAGATGATGGTGGTGTTTGTTCCTCTTCGCCAGCTCGGTGTTACGGGCACTGAGCTCCAATGCCTCCGGTGAAGTCTTCAGAGCGACGAGCTCCTCCCATTGACTAGGAGTTATGTTGCCGATCTCGTTGAAGGGAGTTAACCCCTTTTGGATATACTTCTTGTTGAGCTCTGACCTCCAACATCGGAATGACTCTCCCATCATCCTCAAAGCATTTTTTACCAGTTCGTGCTTACCCTCCGAAAATCTAAAATTGAGCTTCAGCTGCCTATCCCATAGTTCATCCTTTTTCTTCTTTAGTACCTCTTTCTAATTAGGGATTGCTGAGTTCAATTTATCTCTTAGTAGGGCCCCGATCGCATTACGGAATCGTCCTCTTAATTCCTTTGGCTCAAGGATCTCCCCTGCTGGCCCGACCTCCGTTATCACATAGCATGCCTTATCTGGATATTGATTTGCTTTTCTATCCCCTCGTTTTCCTCTTAGGCTTGGTAGTCGTGGTTGTGTCTTGAGGTTGTGGAGCAGAGGCCTCAATGTCCGTCTCTGTGGCTGTTGCCTCTGCTCTCCTTTCCTCTACTCCGTCTTGTCCAGCGAGATGTCGTGGACGTCGATGTCGTCTTTTCCGAGTTTTAGGAGGGACTAGTATATACGACAGGTCAAAGTGTTAGCAGAGGTAACACAGCCAAAGCTTTAGCAAAATTTACAAGCTAAGGCTTTTTCCCTACCTCCTTGTTCGGGTTAAAATCCTTGTCCAAATCTTCCTTCGTTGGCCTCCTTCTGGCTTCACGTGGGAAAAGATCCTCGGGACTTACTTATCCCTCTTCTGAGTCCTCATCATCTTCTTTTTCTTTGCCTTCAGCAGCCTCTCCTACTCTTCCTTCTGCTCTCCCTTCCTCCTTGTCACACTGCTCTTGAGTAAGCATCACTTCTAGATCATTTTCTAACTCGTTATCGAACTACTCCTGAGTAAGCTGGTCCTCTAGTGCTTGCTCCTCATAGGTTGGCTGCTCATCATGCTCGGGGCATTGGGCTGCACTGTCTGGTGTCTGCGACATTATTTCGTGCTTTGTTCTAATAGATGCAAGAAAGTGTGCTTTAGATATACGAGAAGGTATAAGAAATAAAAAAGATCTATAAATCAAAGTAGTCCTATAAAACAACAATATAAAAAAATGAGTAGTAGCAGTAGTAGAGGCCTCAGAAACATGTCACTCATCATTTGATTATGAACTTGAAGTATCAAGACATCATAACACAGAATAGAGGAGAAGATAATGTAGGGGCGGCTGGTAATGATGCCAAGTTCCTCATAAGTTCTTGATCATCAGCTGATATTCCATATAATGTATGGGCTTAGACAATTTTATCATCGGCAAAACAAAGGAGAGGAGAGGAGAGGGGAGATTTAGCAAAAAAAAAAAAGCAACAGCTGCTTAACAAACATAGAGAGAAAAATGTGTAAAAAAAGCAGCAGCTGCTTCCCAAACATAGAGGATAGGAAAGGTGGAAAAAAAACAACAGCTGCTTATAAGTAGGGGGCCATTCGAGCTTACCGTGCACATAAGCTAGGAAGATTCTAAGTCGGACAAATATTATTTGCATTTTACTTTACTACAGATACTTAAGTGGCATACTGCAAACCTCTTTTACATCATTGAAGTAGAGTAGAGAAAGGACATATTTGAATAACTACACCATCTGTACTAGACAGCAGGCTGCTATACTTGCACAATACAGTCTGAGGCTGAGGGTTTGGATCAGAAGATGAAGATGCAGCTACAAGAACTAGAACAAAAGCTTAAGGAATTGGAGAGTTCCGCTCAAGCTTCCAGGAGGAGCATGAAAAGCGCATGTAGGCTGAAAGTGCTCTACTTTCCCAGGGGAAGGAACTTGCTCAATCTCATGAAGAAGTACAGAGGTTGGCTATAGAAATAAAGGCAGCGAATGAAAAGTTGAATGAGCTCAAGCAGACCAATGAGGTCCTTGAGGACACTGTTTATGAGCTGAAGAAGGATGTTGAGCGCCTTACAGAACAAAACCAGTCCTCTGAGGTGCTTATACAGAAACTTGGTGACGAGATAAATACACTCAAGGATTCAAAGAATGAACTTCAAAGTGAAATACAAAGCCTTAAGAGCATCATTTCACAGCTAAACACTGAGAAGAATGCAGCTGTGCTTCATCACCAGCAATCTGTGGAGCAGGTTTCGGTACTCGAATCTCAGCTGTCAAAGCTGCAGTCAGAGCTAGATGAGACTGAGCAGAAAGTACAGTTGCTGACACAAGATCTTGAAAAGAAGAAAGAAGAAGCTGACAGTGTCCATTTCAAGCTGCAAGATGAATGCCATAGGCGTATGCAAATTGAAGCAACTCTTCTCATGACAGAGGGTCTGCATTCCTAGTTGCAAGAAGAAATGAGAACGCTGACACAAGATCTTGATGGATCAAAAAAGAAGCTTAGTGAGCTGGAAAATAATAAGTTAGACCTGGAGAGCACACTGAAAGAACTGAAGAACACCATTTTAGGTTTGAACTCGGAGAAGGATGCAGCACTCCTTCAGCAACAGCAGTCTCTAGAGAAAGTATCTGATTTGGAGTTAGAACTCTCAAAGATGCAGTTGGAAATGGAGAAGCCTGAACAAAAAATTCTCTTATTGGAGCAAGAAATTGCACGGAAGAATGAAAGTGTCGACAGCCTGGAGATAAGTTTGAAAGATGAATGTGAGAAGAGGCTACAAGCCCAAACATCGCTTGTGTCATTGGAGAAAATGTATTCCCAGTCACAGGAAGACGTTAGTAGGTTGCAGATAGAGATTGAGAAGCAGAATGGCAAGTTGAATGAGTTGGAGAACTTGTCATCTGAACTTAACAACACCATCCTACTTATAAACACTGAGAAAGATGCTACCCTCCATGAGAACCAGCAGTCCTCAGCGAGAATATCGGATCTTGAATCTGAACTCTTGGCCTTGAAAACTGGACTAGAGAATGTTGAAGGGAAAGTTCAGATGATATTCTAACATACATGATATTCATTACTATGGCATATTAGGGAAATTACGGTCAGACTGTCGATGTCCTTTCCCCTAATTTTTTTACTGTGGCGTATCATGGAAATTATGGTCAATGTGTATCATAGGCCGTTGATATCCTTTGCCCTAATTCATCTATTTGAAGTATTGGTTTGCCAACAGAAGAAGCATAGGCATGTTGCTGCTTATGATTTATGAAAACCTTTAAAACTATGTTAGCATCACTATAATACCGCCAACCAGATGTATTGTGCTTGTGGTTATGCAACAATATTGACGGATACTCTTAGAGACCATCTGTTGAGGTTACCTCATCTTGCTTTCCTTAGCAAGATTTTGGTTTTTGAGTAATCATTAAATGAACTACCTAAGTTAAGATATATGGAGTTGTACACAATTTACTTTTACAGTGTTCCATTTCGTGGTTCATGGATGGTCAATGATTAAGTTTAAGCTATCGGGATCTGTGTACATGATAGATAGTTTGAGATGAACAGCCTTCTCTAGATGATATTGGTTAGCTAAACAATCTGGATTTTTGTTCAAGTAACCGTATTGTGAGGCTACTAATCCGGGTGTAATAGATTTGTGCACACGTTAGTTTTGTAGTGTGTCCATTTTGTGGTTCATGGATGGTCTGTACATGATCTACAGTTTGAGATGAACAGATTTCTGTAGATAATATTAACCAATTAACAATCTGGATCATTTCTTTCTTGAACTGTCTTGCATTTCTTACAGAGACGTTTTATTTGTATATATGTTCTGCAGCTGAAACAGCCCCAAGACCTTCTAATGTAAGAAGGGACAGCTAAGAGACTGGCTACTAGGAATACCCGCATAAAGCCTACTAGCAAACAAACCATCATCTAACTGAGGAGCCCATGAACCCAAAGATTCGAACGGCTGGCCGTAAATGGGTTCCATGGCTGATTTGGCACCAAATAGTTTGAGGGATGTATTTTAGCACGCCACTAGCTGCCTGATTGCTGAGTCAGTCAGATGGCTCTTGATCTACATGGAAAGAGAAATGAGGGATGGATGGTGTATTCAAAGCGAGAGTGAGAGTAAGTGTGCACTAGTTGTGAGTTTGAAGAAGGTCGAAGACGAGCCACACGCCCACACAAGCACCACGACACACATGGACTCGGACTGCCATGTCATGACATGAGTGGTGGGGCACCAGCAAAGGTTTTTCAGCTCGAAACTCAACGGAAGCGAGTCTGAGGGACCAAGGGGAATATAATGAGGGGTGGACAGACTCAAAGCGAAAGTAAGTGACGGACAGATGGACAGAAAGAGAAAGAGAGACTTTAGGCGAAAAGGAATTGTAAAATGACTTCTACAAAATTAGATAGAGACAAGAATATAATTGCAAAATTAGATACCATAAATTTAATACCGTAAATTTCTACAAGATTAGACGGAGACAAGAATATAGCGTAGAAAACGACACAAAACCAACCCGTTTGCATAATCATTTTATATGGAATAGCTACCAAAACTCATAATCAAACATAATTGCAAAATGACTTCTCAATCTGAAAATAAAAGATAAACCACACACGGCCCCAGTTTAGAATAGGGTGTTAATTTGTCATCATTGAATAAATAACCTTAATTATTTGGCATAATCATGACAGCCGGTCAGCTACTAAATTCAAGTTGGTTCAAAGTCCATACAGCACTGAAATCTAAAAACAGTATGCACCCCACAACCAAATGCACAATATGTTCTATAGAATGGATAAGAATTTGATAATTTTTTAGCTGCTCACCCATAATTGCAAAAAGTAAAAATTCTTGCACAAATAATTTTTTAGCTGCTGACCCATAATTCGGTGGAAAAATTTATCGGTCAAGCAAGCCTAAAGAGACTGGTGGTAGAGGCCCCAAAACTACCAATAAGGCAAACATGCTCATTCAGCTTGGGAAAATAACGGCAACAGAAAACTAGAGCTACTAAAAAAGTTAACAACATTTTCCTTTCTGAGAGGGCGAGAGGCATAAAACTAACTAAAGAATTGGTCCTCCCAAGTTACATTGATGTCTACAGATTGGTTCAGAGACAACAGCTATGATTCTATATAACAGATTGAAGCAGTAGCAAAAAAAGGAATATTGCTATACCTTACCAATTTGCTGTGGAGGAGCGCGGACGCCAGTGGAGCTGCGCGGATGCCTGTGGACGCTACGGAAGGAGCGCGGACGTCGGAGAGCTCGGGCACCGTGGCCGCTCGTCGGGGGAGGGAGCATGGACGCCGTAGCGCACGAGCACCTGGGCCACGGGAGGGCGGGGAGCAGGCCCGCGGCACCTCAAGGTCGGAAACGAGGCGGCGGCGGACCGGGTCGTGGATGTGGACGGCACGGAGATGGGGAGGAGGCAGCGGGTCGCCTGATCGGGGGCTCTAAAACCCTAGCCGCCGTGGAGATGGGGCGCACGGCGTCGTGGCGGCCCAGGGATGTCGAGCTGTGGGCCGGGGGTGCGGAGAGGGGGCGCCGACGTCAGGAGAGGTCCGGGAGGCGGCGGCGGCGGGGCACCGGGAAAAAGTTGGGCAGCCTGATAGCGTCGGGAGGAAGAAGAGAGTGCCCAACACTTATTCACCCGAGCGACCGTGCTTATATACCCAGGACGATTTGTAGGGGCGGTTCCTGATCTAGCCGCCCCTATAAATTCATTTGTAGGGGCCGTTCCTGATCTAGCCGCCTCTACAAATATTTTCCATTTTATGAAATTATAAATTCTGTATTTTTTATATCACAAAAACATAAAGTAAATGTATTATTCTATATAATATTTTGTATTATTCTATATATGCACAAATATATATAAAAACAATTTGCTGATATTCAAAACAATATAGAAAACAAAAAAAATCAAAAATTAAAAATTTGAATTTTAAAATTTCGACTATAATTTTAGGACATTAAATGACCTAAAATAAAAATGTTGTAAATATAAAAGTTGTACAACTCATCAAGATGTACAACTTTTATTTTGGTCATCTTGTCATGTGAAGAACTTTGAACGATTCAAAATTTGAATTTCCGAAAATGACAACTTCAAACAAGATTTTGAAACACTAAATGATTTCAGTTGAAAAACTCATGAATACCAAAGTTATAGAACTCATCAATATATACAACTTATATTTTGGTCATCTTTTCATTGGACCAAATGTGAACAGTTCAAATTTTAAATTTCAATAAATATCAACTTCAAATAAGATTTTGAAACCTTAAATGGTTTCAAATAAGAAAGTCGTGAACATAAAGGTTGTTGAACTCATCACTATCTATAACTTTTATTTTTGTCACTTCTTCATTTGATAAAGTATTACTAAACATTGTTCACAAATGCACATATCACTCATAGTTTCATGAACTATACGAGAGACATGTTGATTTGTGAACAATGTTTACTATCACTTTATCAGATGAAGAAATGAATAAAATAAAAGTTGTAGATCTTGATGAGTTATACAACTTTGTATTCATCACTTTTTCAGCTAAAATCATTTGCTATTTAAAAATCTTGTTAGAACCTGTCATTTTTAAAAATTTAAAAATTTGAATTGCTCAAACTTTATCAAATGAAAAGAATGATCAAATCAACACATTAACTTGATAGGGCATGATTTTAGAGAATTTTAGGAAAAAAACCCATCAAATTTAGAGTTAGTATGAGGGAGAAAGACTAGTTACAAATTTTACCTAGAGATTAAAAAAAATCACAACTGTTCATCATGATTAATGATGAACAAGTATGATTTCTCTTTTTAATATGTGGCTGAAACTTGTAACTAATTTTTCTCCCTCATACTAACTACAAATGTGATGGTTTTTTTTTCTAAAATTTTCTAAAATCATGCTCTATCATTTTAGTCTAGTCATATATCTTTGTCACTAATTTTGAACAGTTCAAAATTTGAATTTCAGAAAATTACAGGTTGAAACCTAATTTTCAACCACTAAATGATTTTAACTGTAAAGGTGATGAATATAAAAGTTCTTGAACACATCACTATTTACAACTTTTATTTTGGTCGTATTTTGATTTGATAAAATTTGAGCAGTTCAAATTTTGAATTTTAGAAAATGACAGCTTCAAACCTGATTTTCAACCACTAAATGATTTCAGCTGTAAAGTGATGAATATAAAAGTTGTTGAACACATCACTATCTACAACTTTTATTTTTGTCATCTTTTTATTTGATAAAATTTGAATAGTTCAAATTTTAAATTTTAGAAAATGACAGCTTCAAACCTGATTTTCAACCACTAAATGATTTCAGCTGTAAAGGTGATGAATATCAAAATTGTATAACTCGTCAAGATCTCCTACTTTTATTTTGGCCATTTCTTCATTTCATAAAGTGTTAAGTGATTTCATAAAGGTTTAGTAGTAATAGAGTGGATGTTGAAATAGATTCATCTAGATGTTGCAAAGGGTAGTCTCACACACATGCATAAATGTAGTCTCACATATATACATAAATATATAGTCTTACACACATACATAAATGTATAGTCTCACACGCATGCATAAATGAAGTCGTACAAACACACAGTTACACAAACACTCCACGTTCAAACATGTAGTAATAAGTGCCTGTTTCAGGTGTTTGCGTGTTACAACTGTTTTAGTAGTAATAGAGTGGATGTTGCTATAGGTTCGTCTGGATGTTGCAAAGGGTAGTCTCACACACATGCATAAATGTAGTCTCACACACATACATAAATATATATTCTCACACACATGCATAAATGAAGTCGTACAAACACACACTTACATAAACACTCCATGTTCAACAACTAGCTAGCCGGCTATAACGACTTTTTCCTTGACACATTTTCGTTCCTATGGCAATATGTCTTTGGGTAGGTTCTTTTCCACAACACTGATCTTCTTAGGAAAGTCTATGAATAGCGGCATCTCATCGTAGTTATTGTAAGCTTCAACATCGTCCACGCCATCAACTCCGAT